AGTCTCCTCGTGTAAGACGGAGACAACCATTAACACCTGCCTCTCGATATCAGAGTCGAGACCAAATAAGATTAGACCATGAGTAACTCGAGGGCACAGATTGTATGTTAGTCACCTCCATGTCCCAGGAGTCTGGTAAAGTTTGTGATAACAAGCATTTGGTAGTGAATGAACGAGGAACTCAATGTATAAATGTATAATGTGTTTATAAATAAACACATTATAAACTATAAATCACCACATGAATTAAGGTTAGGGTTGTAGAACTTATACTTAATATAATGATTTCTTTCATTTATTTAATTGCTCTACTCTCTTGGCCTTAATTCCTAAACTATGATGTAGGGAGCTTGCTCTAAATGATACCTGACGCCCACCTAGTGCGGAGATTCTTGGATTCTGTTATGCTCTGTGTGTCCTGCATTCTTATATTTGTTTTTTGACCTTTTTATTTGGAAGTTATTTTATATTTACAGAAGAGTGGTAATGACAATACATAAGATTCATGGCTACCCTTCACCCAGCTTCCCCTAATGATATCTTTAATAACTCAGGCATGTCTATGAACACTAAGAAAGTAACACTGGTACAGGACTAAACTACAGACTATGTTTGGATATTATCAGTTTTTCCACAATGTCCTTTTTCTGTTCCAGGATCCAAACCAGGATAGGATAATGTGTAGCATTTAGTCCTTACGGTTTTTGAAATAAAAACTTTACTGTTCTATTTTTTAAGTATATTGAGACATTAAAATTATTGGGAAAATGGAAAACTAATAAAGAATTGATTGTGCATAGCAAAGTGCATCACCGCCCCTCTGTGCATGTCGTAGAGATCTTCAGGAAATCTAAAAAGATCATGCTGCATGTTTGCAAATGCCACAAACCAAAATGAGACGCAAACAAGAAAGTTGAACCTGAAACACGTATGACAGATGCTGGAATATTGAGAATTAAAGATGTAAGCAAAACGATTTTCCCCATGGGAAAATCTGTCGGCTTCGTTATTGAGGGCGGTGGGGACGCTGGCTGGATTTGCACTGCCCGAAGCACCAACTAGTCTGATTTAGCCTCTCACTGCATGTTTGCTGGGGGCCTCCTATGTGCCAGCACTATTCTAGGCACTGGGGGAACGGCGGCCAATGAGACAAGGGCCTTGTGTTCGTGAAGCTCGTGTTTTGGTAAGGGAGACAAACAACAAGCAAATACAGATCAGGCAGCGACAAGCACGCTATAGGGAAAGAGGCAGGCTGTGGGAGGAGAGAGTGGGCCATGTGGGTCTGGAGGAGGCGGCCCTGGACAGCCTCTCCGAGCAGGTGGGCGTTGTGCACCCTGAACACTCAGAACCAAGAGCCGGGACGATCGCTCTGTGCCACACAGAGCTGTGGTCTTGGGTAGATCCTGGAAATAGTCAGATTATGGAAAACTGAGGTCCCAACCCACCTATCCAACTTCAAATATTCCCTGACGCTGGCATAGCCCTGTGCAATAGTTTTCTTTCTCCTCTTCCCCATCGTGTGGCTTGTCATAGGTGAATTCATAAATTCAGCTCTGATACAAACTGCCACTGAGAAATGTCTCCTTGAGATTCCTTGAAGCCCAGGGTGAAAAAGAAGGTGCCAATACACAGAATAAACAGAACACTGTTCCTCTGATTTCAAACTCTGTGTCAAGCTGGCTTGCCCGACATGAGCCGCATCAATTCCAGACTCACGAAACCTTTATCGATCGCCCGTGATGTGCCAGCATTTGGTTTAGGTTCACATTTGCTTCGGAGTTCTCCTACCTACACTTTCTCCCATAAGCGTCGCAGTAACACCCTCTAACAGCTTGTGAGGTGGGTGTCACACCTTTCTTTTCTTCTCTTTTTTGCCAGAAGGAGGGGCTGAGTGCCACAGAGCTGAGCCGTGGTACAAGCGGGAGCTGTGGACCATGTTTCCTGATCCCAGGCTCGGAGCTCTTTCCACCCCACGACAGCGCAGCCTCACTGGGAAATTCCAGCTTCGTCTTGTCCCACACAGGACCCAGCGTCCTGCAGCCTGTGCCAACCCAAGTTAGAGCAGATTCCCTGAGAACAACCTGGGCATGCCCAGAGATGGTGAAATGCCACTCCCAGGGCCCCAGATAAAGCCTCCTGGCAGTCGTCGGTGGCAGAGGCCAGCACCCACGCTTCAGAATCTGGCACCCGGGGAGGTCGTTTCCAACGGAGAACCCGTGATACGCAGCTCTACAAGCCACACTCAGCTATGATAGCAGCACCTTTTAAAGACCATGCCCCGATTAGCAAGTTTCTCTAGCAGATCCTATGTGCCGCTGTCAAGTCTGTGTTCGACGCTCCTCCCCTCTTTTAAAATAAACCCGAAAGCTAATTTGGTTATACAAGGCAGCCAAATTGCACAAAACTATCAACAAGTCTTCCCCCAGAACAGACTAAGAGCCTGCAGCCAACGGGAGGATGTAATCGCTTCCCAGCCTGTGAGCAATTTCTTTCCTTCCAGATTTTTCACTGAGACTGGAGTCTGAACTTGAAGTCACTGTCATTTAAAAAGTGCATCTGGGGTAGTTGGTGTCGGTCCTGGGGCGTAGAGGGCTACTGGAAAGAAGCTGATTGCATGTTTGTGCCTTTTCAACCCTGTGATTAGTGGAGAGGAAGAAGGAGGCAACAGAGGGTGGAAGGAAGGAAAAAAAAAAATCACTCCACCCCACATATCCAAAAATGCAGGGGTAGAGAAGGTGGAAGAGCTATCTCACCCATCAGCTTCTCACTCGACTCCCATGGACCCAACAAAATCATGTTATTTCACCTTCTTCCTCTTTTGCTTTTCTCCAAATAGTTTAGTAGTTCATGACAAACCAGGCACAAGCTGGCAAGTTTAAAACTACACATCATCTGGCTTCCCTCCCTAGCAGGGATGAACACAAAGATGAACAGAATGCAAGGAAAGGCCAAGTGCACTTTCAGGGTGAGCTGCAGCTCTGTGGAGCTGTCTGACCACGTGCTCATTTCCCAAGGGGGTTGGGAGCCTGGAGGATTGAGTGCCGTGGCCAAAGTCACACCACAAGTTGTCATCAGAACCAGGACCCAGCCCCAGGCCCCCTGACTCAAAGCCCAGGGCTCCTCCTCTAGCATTTGAGGATGCACGGAGTGCTATTTTACTGTGGCTCTAAAACGGGGTGTCAGAAAGGGGCCTAACCCATGCGATGGTCCCCCTGAGATGGGAGGACTGGAGGGCCAGTTGTAAGTGGGTCATTTCTATGCTACATGCCAGGCAATGGGCTTGGCTGCAGGGAGTCACTGTACACCATCCTCAAGGTGAGCCTGGTCTCCGAGTCAGCCATCTGGCAGAAGGGGTTTTGGATAATTAAGTCTCTTTGCCAGAGGCAGTGGGGGTGGATGAGGATGGCCACTTACTGGCTGTCCAAGCAGCCAGCCCGGTTCCCCCACCTGCAGCTGCCTGTGTGAGTCCTCTCCCCATCCCTTGCAGGGGCCAGCTGAGCCCCTCCTTGGTTATGGTAGCCAGACTGGTCCCCAGGGCTGGGCTTCTGCTGTGATCTTGCAGATCCCTGCCCTGTCCCTGGATGAAGAGCTGCCCTGAGTCTGGTCCTGCGGTGCTGGCTCTGCTCAGCTCTGGGGTGGGAGCCCACGCTGGGTGCAGGCAGCAGCGTCTCAGGAGCCCATCACTCTGGCTAAGCACAAACTCTTTGGAGCAAAGACTCTACAGATTCAAACCCCAGCTTTCCAGCTGAGGAAACGTCTGATCTCTAGGCCGCAGTTTGTCTACCGATACAATGACGTGTAGATTTGTTTTGAGCATTGAATGAGATAATCCACATAAAGTGCTTAGCATGGTGCCAACTCAGGGTAAGCACTCAATAAATGGCAGCTGTTTTGATTACTCAGCGGCCCCCTCTCTTGCCTGGCTCCCCCACCCAGCAATGTCTTTTCCTCTTGGATTCCCATCATCGTCTGTCTGTGGTTGGGTTTTACTCTTGACCACTCCCAAGCCTCACTACACCAAGTGCCTGCTGGAATGTCTGGCAGTCTCCTGGCTCGCTCTACAGACAGCACATGCAGCAGCCTGCCAGCGAGGCTTGCTCCTCCCTGGGCCTGCTTTCCCCGTGGTCAGCCTCCCCCCTCTCCTCCACCCTCCTATACAGTTCTGGCTCCATCTAGGCTGCTGTGAATAACCGGCCTAGCGGTCAATGGCTACTGGGATGGGCTCCTGACCACGTACTGGCGCTGGGACCTCTGCGACAGTTACAACCCACAGAGAAGTGCAAGCTCTGACAGTTCCCTGCCATTGACTAGGACAGAGTGCAGTCAGGAGAGGACAGCACCTCTCTCTAAAAGCCTTTAGTGAACTATTTTCCAGCCATGAAACCCACTTTAAATTCAGGCGGAGAGAAGGACCTCAGTACTCATAATTGTGAGAACACATTTAATCGGGGAAGTAGAGAGCTATTTAATTTCATTTCCCTGTGCTTAAATTTCTTTGTCCCCTCTCCCCCATTCACTGCACTAAATCAATATTTCTCAAACTATATGTGCTCAGGGCCCAATTGCTTATTTTCCCCAAACTATTGTGGACCAATATGTTTGTAAAACAGTAAAAATAAATTGCTACAAAATGAAAATGTCACTAAAATGGCACAGCCATGTTCAATTGCTGTAAGGTTTCTGCACTTAATCTTTTTGTAGTCTGGTAAACTTTGTACAGATCCACACCGGCTCCTGGCCCAAACTGAGAGTAGGTAGGGCTGCTTCTGGAAGGAACAGAACCACAAAGAAGTCTACCTCCCACAGACACCCCCGTCCTGGATTTTTGTACTGGAATGCAGTGGGCTCTGTAGCAGCCCTGCCCACCCGGAGCGTGCAATGGTAAGGTTGGGGTAGGATTTGCCCAGGCTCCAGGTGCTGATATTCCTTGAGAGTCAAGCAGCCCCCAGAGGGAGGGATATGCAGAGATGTTCCCAGCCCGAGCGAGCAGCCGCCCTTACCATTCCATGCCAGCCCGGTTGATCTCCTCCCACCAGCACTCCGTGGGTTCCCCGAGGTTCTGGGGTGTGGGCATGCAGGCGTAGTTCCATTGTCTGTCAGAGCCTTCCTTCTTGTTGAAGATGCTCCTCACGGCCACCACCACCTGCCCATGGGGACACTGGTAGCTGAAGCCCTGCCGGTTCAGATTCACCCACCCATCATCGCTGTAGTCATGGTACTGCTGGTACGGGTACCCGTAGTCGCCGTACTGGCCCCAGGCCACGGTGACCAGGGGCAGAAGCACCCACAGGAGAGTGAGGTCCATGCTGCCTGGGCTTTTGGCAAAAAGTGTCACTCTAGGTTTGCTGGGCTGTTTTATACAGCTGCCTCTGACATGTGGCTTCCAGATGTGGGTGAGCAGGATCCAACTGCAGTGTGTCATTGCTTAAACAAAACTTTTCCGTGCTGAGATATCAACCATAAGGACATTCAGCTTGTTTTAAGGTGGAATTCTAGGAATATGCAAGGAATATGTAAGTGGAAGCAACTCCCGGGAGAAAGAACAACTTTGCAGATAGATTCTAAAAGCCTTCAGCCCCTTTAGAAACATTCGCTTGGAAAAAACCTATTAGCTGCATATTTGTCTCTCATCTCAGCACCTCACTTCTTACTGTCCCACCCCATGCCCCTGCTAGCAAACCCCTGTATTTGCTCTCCAGACTAGCCTTCCAGGACCACACAAATATCCACACAGTGATTTCAAAACACCAAAATAATAGACTGAAGGGACGGAGTCATTTAGATTTCTGTAAGCCTGGATGCCTGGTTTCTTTAAAGATCTCAGCCCAACATCTCTTAACCCTTTAGTGTAAGCATGGGTGAACCAATTTGCAGGGCTACTCTGAGAACACTTAAGTTGCATAAAAAAGTACAGTGGGCCCATGGAGAGAGAAACTGGACATTATCTCTACACTTAAGCATCCTCCTGAGCTGCTGAAATTGGACCCAGCCACATTTAGAAACTGTGCTCTCCTCTCAAAAGTGTACTGGGTTTAATCCACTGAATAAACACACCGTTTAGCCTTCGGTGTTTTTCCCCTTCACAGTGAGGTACAATTTACATATAATAAAATTCTCCTTTTAAAATGTTTAACGTAAGGTCGTGTAACCAGCACCATAATCAAGACATAGAATGGTTCCATCAATTCCAAATCTCCCCTTATACCCCTTCGTAGTCAAATATTCCCCAACACCCAGCCCCTGGTAACCACTGATCTACTTTCTGTCCCTATGGCTTTTCCTTGCCCAGAATGTCAAATAAATGAAATCATACTCCATGTAGCCTTTTCTGTCCTTCCAGCTAGCATAATGCTTTTGAGATGTAACCATGCTGTTGTGTGTCTCAGTACCTTGCTCCTTTTTATTGTTGAGTAATATTTCACAGGATGGGTGTACCACAGATTATTTATATATTTATCGGAAGAAGGACATTTAAGCTTTTTCCAGTTTTTGAAAATTCACTATGTTTAATGAGTCATGTAAAAGTATGAATGAAGTTTATATAAACATCTATGCATATGTTTTTGAATGAACAAATTTTTATTTCATTTGGGTAAAATTCCTAGAAGTGGGATTGCTGGATTATAAGATAATGTAGGTTTAACTTTAAAAGAAACTGCCTAACTGATTTCCAAAGTGGCAGTACCATTGTGTATCCCTACCAGAAAACTGCCATTTCTTTTATTTTTGATGTTTCATTTTATTTTTTTATTTTTTATTTTTTTTTTATTTCAGCACATTACAGGGGTAAAAATGTTCAGACTACATATATTGCCCTTGCCCCACCTGAGTCAGAGCTTCAAGTGTGCCCATCCCCCATGCCATTTCTTTTTTTTATTTTTGCCATTCTGATACATTTGTAGGTTTTGATTTTCATTTCCTTAATGACTAATAATTCTGAGCATCTTTTCATATGTTTATTACCCATGTATGCATTCTTTGGTGATTTGGCTGTTCAAATCTCTTGAAACCTTTGGGCGTCTTTCAAGCACATAGTATTTCCCGTCTTTCATCAGGGTTGTCCTTACGAAAGTTTCTTAAAATTGTGCTTGTAGATCAACCATCTTTGAAGCCCACATGTTAAAATGTAGACTCATTGGCTCCATCTCAGATCTACTAAATCATAACCTCACAGGGGGTGCCCAGGTATCTACATTTTAAAAGTTTTCCAGTGATTTGTACTTGCATCAATGTTTAAAAGTCACTTTCCCAAAGGATTGCAAAGCCCGAGAAAAATCATACTAAAAATCCCACCCTGTGCCCAACCTACAGCACATTTGCCAGATGGCATTAAGTCTAGATTAAACATCAAGGTGGGCTAGAGGGAGAAAGAAAGTCACACATGGGCATACAGCAACTGCGTGTGTGTGTGTGTGTGGGTGTGGGTGTGTGTGTGTGTGTGTGTTGGACATGCAATTTGCTCTGATGATCATGTTTACTGAAGCAAGAGGAAGAGGCTCTGGGCCGAACAGCTATGCGAGTCTCAGTTTTGTTCTTAGCATCATATTTTCCCACCACTTCCGTCCCTGAGTGATTGCCCAGTGCTGGCAACTAGAGTCCTCCTGGCTTAACGTGATCTCTCTAATTTATGACATGCTGGAGCAATTGTTCCCCACCTTGTCAGCACTTAAGAATTACCTGGGAAGCTTTTGTTTCTTTCTTTTTCTTTTTATACCATCTGTAGGACTCTGCCTGATACCCTGGGAAGCTTTTGGAAACCACCTGTGTCTTAGTGATTCCTGGACCAATAGGATCGGAAGTTTCTGAGCAGGGCTCAGACAATGGTGTCCCGAAAATCTCCCCAGAGGATTCTCACATGCAGACGGGTTGAGAACAAATACACTAGAGGGTTTTTTTTCAGCTTATCCTCCTGACGCTCATGAGTTGCATCCTGCATTGTGGGCATGACGTATGAGTACTTTTAAACCTTAGAGAGCTCCAAGAGACAATGCAGATTATTGTAACACTCAACTTTATTATACATTTATTTCCCAACAATTTCTAGGGCGTGCCTGATCCCTATTCTCTGCAGACCTCGCTCATCTTACAGCTAGAGCTACCACAGCTGGACTCCCTTTAATGTGCAAAGTAAACATGTTTATGCTGTAGGCCAGTTAGGGGTAGATTCCTGTTACTTAGAGCTGAAAGCAACCTAACTCATGCAGTGTCTCACGGCATCCTGGAAACTGCCGAGGCCTTTGAGAGAGTTGTGGGTGGCCGCGCAGATAATGGTTTCCATGAGCAGGCATTAAGAACATACATTTAATGTTGGCCAGGTACCGTGGCTCATGCCTGTAATCCTAGCACTCTGGGAGGCCGAGGCAGGAGGATGGCTTGAGGCCAGGAGTTTCAGACCAGCCTGAGCAAGAGTGAGACCCCATCTCTACTAAAAATAGAAAAGTTAGCTGGATGTGGTGATGTGTACCTGTAGTCCAAGCTACTTGGGAGGCTGAAGCAGGAGGATCGCTTGAGCCCAGGAGTTTGAGGTTGCTGTGAGCTAGGCTGAAGCACTCTAACCCGAGCAACAGTGTGAGACTCTCTCTCTCAAAAAAAAAAAAAAAAGACCATACATTTAATGCATTCACAGTTTACTGTGTGTTTTCAACTAGGTTATCATGTGTCTTCCTCACAACTTTATAATATATAGTAGTGAGGCATTACTTGAATTCATTTTTCACAGATGAGGACACTGTGGTCAGAGAACATTTTGGCCCAAATTCCTAGAGCTGGAAGCATATGACCCCAGGTCTTCTGATTCCTGTTCTGTAATTCCTTCCATCATTTCATCGAAACTGCAGCTACTAATTCTAAATTAACATTTTGAAATAATTGCCAAATAATACATTTATAAGGTTTCTTATATTAACATGCACATGAAGTCAGGAATTTCTGCTGTTATTTGCAAAGTCTGCTCAACAGGCCCTGGGGACTTTAAAGAACTAGGTATTAGATCAGCAGTTTTCAGAGTGTAGTTCTAGGACCAGAAGTATCAGCATCACCTGGGAACTTGTTAGAAATGCAAATCCTCTGGCCCCACTCAGACCCACTGAATCAGACACTCTGGGATGGCGCCCAGGAATGTGTGTTTTAGCAAGTCCTCCAGGTCTGTGGCCCCCAACCCCTGGGCTGCGGACTAGTAGTGGCCATGGCCAGTTAGGAACCAGGCTGCACAACAGGAAGTGAGCGGCTGGAGCTGATGAAGTTTCATCAGTATTTATAGCCACTCCCCATTGCTTGAGCACCATGGAAAAATTGTCTTCTATGAAACCAGTTCCTAGTGCCAAAAAGGTTGGGGATGGATGTTCCAGGTGACCTGATGCAAAGTCAGAATTATTATATAGATGATACTTCAGAACACTCTACTCAAATTCCAGGAGTCACTTATTAAGGAGTGATACAGTGTTCCTGATGCCTATTTGACTCAACTCACTCATTTTGACTCTGGAGCCCACACCGTAAACCACTGAGCTCTATCACCTCCTAGTAGATAATGGACTTGAGATATTTTGGAGAGACTCTGGCAAAGGGCATTCAAAAGCCTGAATGATTCTTCTTTTTCTTCTTCCTCTTATTCTTTCTCTTTCTCTCTCCTTCTCCTTCTCCTCTTCCTCTTCCTTCTTCTTCAGCTTTATTGAGATATAATTCACATACCATACCGTTCACCATTTAAGATATATAGTCAATATGTATCTTACCTTAGTATATTCACAGAGTTATACAACCATCACCGCAATCAATTGTAGAATATTTGAATCACCCAACAAGAAACCCTGGGCACATTTGCAGTCACTTTTCATTTCCCTTCAACCCTTTAGCCCTAGGCAACAATTAATTTATTCTCTGTCTCCATGGACTTGTCTATTCTGGACATTTCATATGAATGCGATCATTCACTGTGTGGTCTTTTGTGACTGGCTTCTTTCACTTAGCATAATGTTCCCAAGGTTCATCCGTGTTTTAGCATGTATTCATACTTCATTCCTTTATATTGCCTAATACTATTCAATAGTATAGCTCTACCACATTTTATTTATACAATCATAAACTGATGGACTTTTGGGTTGTTTCCATCGTTTCGCTATTATGAACAACGTTGCTATGAACAGTCATGTACAATTTTTTGTGTGGACATATGATTTCATTTCTCTTGGTATATACCCATGAGTGAAATTGATGGGCTCTATGGTGACTATGTTTAACTTTTCAGGCAATGCCAGCTGTTTCCCAAGCATCTGTGCCATCTTGTACTCCCTCCAGCAGGGTATG